CTATTAGACTTATCCATAATTCATCAGGTATTACAGTTTTGTGATGCATATCTGGCCTAGATTTACCATGTGCTTTTCAACATACAAATGTCTTTAATGCTTAATGCTTATTTAAAGTTTGTTTAATTTATTAATGAATATTAGAATATATTAATTAGCATATTTACCCAAAAGGTAGTATGAGATCAACTAATATCAGTTTGGGAGTTATTCCATCCAAATTTTTTAATGTATGTTCTTTAATTTTAATAGCAAACACACAGCATCTCTCAGCTTTACAAACAAAGAAACTCAGGCACAGAAATGTTACAAGCATTGAATAGTATTCTAAGCCAGAGTTAACCTGCAGCTCTGCTTTAATCCTCGTGTTCCTGCCCTGAATAGTCTTGCCTTTTGAGTGACACAGAATAGCTGATAATGGTATTGAGATGCTATTGCATAGGAAATTATGAGAGGCTGAAAAATTGCTCCAGGTGTTTTTGAAATAAGGTAGTAGAGAACCAGCATATACACAGATGATAAAGACTCAGCCAAGGTGTATAAAGGAGTTAGACTCTAAATAGCTCAGAGACACAAATAGCACAACTCATTGGGTTTGAAATGGTGGAAAATGAACAGGGTAATATGTATGTATGGAAAATCTTAAATATTTTCAATAATGAAGGATGTTAATGATTGGATTGGACCACCAAATAACAACGGTGCCATCAAAGAAGTGACCATTAATGCAGATACCACTTGCGGAAACGGCTGGGTGTGTGAGCATCGGTGGCGGCAAATCAGGTGGGAACATGTTCTGTGAAATATTATCTCATTCCATAACATTTCATTGTAAATCTTTGAAGCTTTAGGGTACAGAATTTGACATGTTTGTGCTTTTAGGAACATGGTTGCCTTCAGAAATGTAGTTAATGGCCAGCCTTTTTCAAACTGGTGGGACAACGGCAGCAACCAAGTAGCTTTTGGAAGAGGAAACAAAGGCTTCATTGTCTTTAACAATGATGACTGGTAAGTGTATACCAATTAAATGAGGATTTTATATTATTATATTCATGTATCATTCTTAACTTTCCCTAATCATTAGAAATGTTTATATCTGAGAATTTTTATATTAATGAATTTAAGGAAGCAAAGATATCTGCAAATTGCAGAAAATACAAAGTGTCTATGTTTCTTGTCTCATTTTCCCATTTTCCCCATATTTCAGGTGAACTCTTGTGTATTCTTAGCATGTCATTCGTATACATTCATATTTAATGCTCATAAAGTGCACGCCATAAAACACATAATCATAAGAGACAAAATCACTAAAGAATGTACAGAGTATTAGAGTATCTGAATGTCAACTGTTATTTTATCCATTCTTCTGATAAATTGTCTTCAGGTTTCTATTTCTGTATGATAAATGTTTTTGAAGTATATCTGTAGTTCCTCATTATATATTCTTGCTTTCAGGGGTGCTTAATTGAGCTTCTAAGACTTTCATTAAAGTCCTTTCATTTGGGACAATAACATCCTATCTGTATTAATGATCACCTCTTGTGTAGGACTATAGCTCAGAGAATCACTATGCAAGCAGGTGAAATCTCTCCAAATTCAACCTCTACTCATGTTTAAATTATACTGAGCAGAAAGCGTAATTTATTACTGAAAAGAAAATAATTGTATCATTACTTGTATAATTGTATCATTGTGACAATAATTGTATCATTAGTGACAAACATATAGCTAACTTTGTAATTTCTTTCATCTTCTATGTGGACGAATTAAAATAAATTTGTACAAATAGCTTTATATTCCAAACTGTATTTCTCCACAGAAATCTAGATTATTTTACCTTCTAGCCCCAGGTCTTTTAGCAGCATGCAAGCAAGCAAGTTTTGGAGAAATGATACTATTACCATTCCTAAAATTAATTAGTGTTTTCTTTAGGTCAGCAGAAGACAAATTTTAAATGAATATGTTCCTCACAGGTGGTGGTTTTATCTGAAACCTACACTGACACACTTTGACTTTCACCGCTTGGTAGAATTCCCCACAAACTGGGAATCTACTAGGCTGTGAAAAGAGGAATAGATCCTGAAAATATTTTCACTCCATCTGGAGACGTCTTCGTGTTGGGATTTTCTCACCGAGGCCTTTTCTTCTTACAGTCCCACAGCACAAAGTTCTGGCATCTGTTTTAGAGACTGTTGTTCCTTGTGCACTTGACTGTGTTGAGCTTAATTTAAATATTAACTTTTTGTGCTTTCAGGTCACTGTCAGCAAAGTTACAGACTGGTCTTCCTGCTGGCACATACTGTGATGTCATTTCAGGAGACAAAAGCAATGGCAGTTGCACAGGAATTAAAGTCCAGGTTTCCGGGGATGGCACAGCGCAGTTTTCCATTAGTAACTCAGCTGAGGACCCATTTATTGCCATCCATGCTGAATCAAAATTATAAAGCCCCGAATAAATAAATATTGAGCACATCATTCAATTTTCCTTATTTATTTATGTATATGTATATGTATGTATATATGTCTTTTTTAGTTATGTATTTACTATTACCGTGTGGGAGAAAGTTCCTGTGTGGGTGTGGGTCATTGAACCACTCTCAGGAGTTCATTCCTGTCCTCTCCTTTTCCTACTTGTTCTAGTTAAAACTCAAGTCACCAGTCTGGATTGGCGTTCCCTTTTATACACTGTTCTTGCCACTATCCTGATTATACCTCAGATTTTATAGTTCATTACTCTTGCATAAAAGCTATAAGCTCTCAATTTGAGTAAGTTTTAAAAATTTAAAAGTCACATATAATTGCACTACTTTAAGATAACTAGCC